TTTCTGTACACGCTTCTTCCTTTTCAGGGTTGCGTGGGTCACTGGTGCCCATATCCAGCAGTCACAGTGTGAGGGGCGGGGTACACCCTGGTATAATATATATATACTGTATATACTGTGATGGACTTGCAACCTGTCCAGGGTGTACCCCGCCCCTCGCACTGTGGCTGCTGGATATGGGCACCAGTGACCCCCATGACTGAAAGGAATAAGTGGGTACAGATAATGGTTGCATACTGTATACAGTAATTTGTATGTATGTATGTAGGTATGTATGTATGTATGTATGTGTGTGTGTATACACACACACATATGTTATATATTATTTAAAAACTACAACTATATTTACATGCAGCCTAAATTTTGACTCTTATAATGTAGTATACAAGGGAAACAACTTTAACATATAATGGAATAGATACCAATTTCTTTATTGAGTATGACAGATCTGCAAGCTAGATTTACTGATTTTAAATCTTGGGTACTGAAGCTAATATCACAAGTAATACCAAAGCACAAATTTTTGCCAAAATACATACAAAATGAATTATAAATCAGTCATTTCTTGACCTTTAAAGATAAAATTTGCTAAAGCAGTTGGCTAAACCTCAAACAGATGCTAAATACATCTTAAGGACATGCACCCGAACTGTTTGCAAAAAAAAAAAAAAATCATACAGGACGAGTTTTGCACAGCTGGCAATCCTATCATAGTTTCTCCAGGAACTATTCTAGTTGATCAATATTATTGTTCATAGTTGAGGGTGAAAACTGTCACACATTTTGTTCATATGTGTGTGTCACTTATCTACAAGGTCACAAATGTCAAAGTTGAGACCCACGGGCCAAATGTGGCCTGTGGATGACTCCCATTTGGCCCACTAATGGCACTAAGTGACAGCATTCTGCACACAGTAAATATTGTCTCATGTTGACTCTGAAGAATGTTCAATGCTTCAAGTGGATTACATTAGTGCTTTAGAATTAGATTTGGCTAATTTTTTCAGTGTGTTAGCGCTTTAGAATTAGGGGACCTAAATATTTGCGTTAGTGCTTTAGGGTTAATTCAACTAATATTTAGATTAGTGCTGCCCACCAATGGTGCTCAGAATACAATTTTCAGCTACTACCGTTTTAATACAGTAACTCACTGCAAAAAATGTCCACCTAACCAAGTTTTAAAATCTTATATCAGCCAAAAAAGTCTTTTTGATCTTGTTTTGAGACTGATTTACTAAACAAGAACTGATTGTGTAAGAATAATAATCTTGTTTTCAGAATGTGTAAGATTGTCTTGTTAGTCTGAAAATTTGACTCAAATTAAGTCAGAATATCTGCCAATGGAGTAAGAAAATTTTACTTTGTAAGACTTCTTGAAATACTTGATTTGACTCGATTTTTTCTTATTTCAAGAATCTTACCAAGTAAAATTTTCTTACTCAACTGGCAGACATTTTGACTTAATTTGAGTCAAATTTTCAGAATAACAAGACAATTAATCTTACGCATTCTGAAAACAAGATTATTATTCTTACACAATCAGTTCTTGTTTAGTAAATCAGTCTCAAAACAAGATCAAAAAGACTTTTTTGGCTGAATATAAGGTTTTAAAACTTGGTTAGATGGACAGTTTTTGCAGTGGAGTTGGTAAATTTGACTGAGTTACAGACATTTTTAAGTTTTCTAAGGTACTGTAAAGCTAATCAGTAATCAATGTGATAGCTCAACTTTATTTTTAAAGCACTTAAAAAAATCAACCAAAGTGCTGTACAGCAATCATAAAACACATTGAAATAAAACAGTAAATTAAACAGACAAGACACATAGGTCACAATGTAGGCCCTTATTTAAAAAATGCCAGAGAATAAAAAAGAGTTTTAAAGAGAGATTTGAAGTGTTCCAGACTATGGGCAGATCTAATATTGAGGGATAAGTTGTTCCACAAATTAGGAGCAGTGACAACAAATGCCTGGTCTCTGCTTTTCACTATGATTTTGGGAACGTGTAAAAGCAGTTTATCATTTGAAGTGRTCTAGAAGTGGAATAGTCATGCAGAAAATCCTGACTATACGCTGGGGACAAGCCATTTATAGCTTTAAAAACCAATACTGGAGGTATATGATCATGTTTCCTGGTTCARTGAACATCCATACAAAATAAAACAAAACTTTATTATCCTTTTGTCTTCGTGTCTTTTCCAAAGCTCAGTGCTCCGTTCTAGAAAACGAAACAGATATTGAAACTAAGGAACTACATTACCCATAAGGCCTTGTTCTTACGTAGGGCACGCTCTTGTTGTTCATTGGCTGAAAGATGTGATAACGAATGACGCTGGAGGCGGTTACTGAGATAAAGGTTGGATGGAGAAGCGTCGAAAAGCGGGGCTAGTGGCTAAACACGTTAGCGAGGAAGACAATTTGTATTCTGCGGTGTAATAAATTACTTGTGAAAAAATAAAAATGGTAAGTCTCGCTTGTTATTTAGTATTTTTAATCGTATGGCGGCAGCGTGCTTATTGAAAAGGGACAATAAACGACATGGTGCGTTTGTTTTAATCGCCATGTTAGCRGTCGTGTTAGCTTAGCACATTAGCCGACTCGGTCGCATTGAGAGAGCGGTAGCATAGCTAATAAGACCTAATATTAGCTGAAATGTAAAGTTGATCATGTGGGATGATACTCGATGCGGTGATTGAAAACGTGAGTGGTGATTTGTGTTTCCAGGCTGGCGGTAAGGCTGGAAAAGACTCGGGGAAGACCAAGACAAAGGCTATTTCGCGCTCTCAGAGAGCAGGACTTCAGGTCTGTCCAGTTTTCATTCATCGCTGTGTGGCGCGCTTCACCGACATTCGTGGGACTCAAGTCCTGGTTGTTATTTGTCTTTTCCCCGCAGTTCCCAGTGGGTCGAATCCACAGACACTTGAAGTCCAGGACCACCAGCCACGGCAGGGTGGGAGCCACAGCAGCGGTGTACAGCGCCGCTATCCTCGAATACCTCACCGCCGAGGTAACGTGTCTCCTCGGCTCCTCGGACGTCCGTCCCGCTCTGTGGTCCAGCCTAAAAAKCAGGTTTTTCTTTCAGGTTTTGGAGTTGGCAGGAAACGCATCAAAGGACTTGAAGGTGAAAAGAATCACTCCACGCCATCTGCAGCTCGCCATCAGAGGAGATGAGGAGCTGGACTCTCTGATCAAAGCCACCATCGCTGGTGGAGGTGAGGAGCTGCTACAAGTTTATAGATCAGATCCAAAACTTTTTAAATTGAAACAAACACGTTTAGCTTCGCTTCCTGAGACCTCTTCATTTGAACCGGGGTAATGTGGAGTGGATGTTGTGTTAATAAATGCTCCTCACAGTCCTGGTCGTGTGCATGAAGTTTAGAGAAAGACGGTAGGAAAACCTGTTGTGTACTTTGTGTTGCAGGTGTTATTCCTCACATCCACAAGTCTCTGATTGGAAAGAAGGGCCAGCAGAAGACTGTATAACCTGAGGCTCTGTCCTGCTGTCTCTGGACCCAAGTCTGCGTTGAGTGGTTCACTGTCTTAGATTCAAACACGTTTAGGGTTTTTATGGTTGAGCTTGCATTTACTCATGATTTTTTTTTAAAGTGGCTTCAGAGAAGCTTTATATTTTCCTTCTTCTGGTGCTGCAGTTTGTTTTTGTTAAATCCAGCTTTTGTGGCATTCCCATGTTTTAAGTGGTGTTTTAATAAAGCCCCTCTGGGTATTGTTTCTGCTTCTCCCTTCGTTGTGTTTTGGCTGAGCTGCAGCCCTGTCTTCATTTACTCACCAGGAAAGTGATCTATCTGCCACTCAGCACAGACTGCACCAACTATTTGTGGGAAGAGCCATGGTGTCAACTGATTCCTTAGCCTTTTTTTTTTTTTAAGTTCTGACACATTTTGATAAAGTTGTACAAATAAGTTCATTTTGTTTTCGTCTTCAAGATGAGAGAATAAACAGACTTCCTGAATACTCTTCCTCTGCTGCATAAAGAACTCATTCACCAAGTGGARTTTAATCTAGCAACAAGCTGCCACTAGATGGCAAAACAATCACAAGTCTGTGACTGTTCCTGTGCAGCGATGAATATAAACTCAGCTTTTGTTTTACAGAAAGGTCTATTTCCAACGTCTAATGGCCGTTTCCAAAGTTATTATTGTTTACATTAAAAGGCAGTACTATAAAAGTACTTGTCATCGAGTTTATTTAGAAAACAAAAATGTCCAAAATTCAACCAAGAAGTTCGAATTTGGAGAAGTTGAGGATTTTTAAGTGATGAACTTTAGAAAATGGTATTTTGTTCTGTGACAGTAAAGTAAGCTCAGAAGATAAAACACCTCAMAACTTCGAGGGTAAATGTGTTTCTGTACACATCAATAAAAAGGGAAATTATGAACTAAATCTGGAATTGGCAGGGAAAAAAGWTTACATGTTGGAGTACAGATGTGATGTATTTATAAGGAGCTGTGTGTGCCTGGACCATGTGATCTACTGTAGAAGGGGCGGAGCTAAACAGGCATGAGTCTGGACTGTCAGACACTACTGCAGTGGTTCCCAAACTTTTTATCTTCTGACCCAAAAAATATTCGTGGCAAAAACTTGTGACCCCAAATATTACTGGTCTGAGTACACGAACTTTGTTAATAACCCTAAAAACACAGGATTTTTGACAATCTAAACAGGTTGTACACAAATATAAATACTTATTTATGCTTACTTTTGTTTTTGTAATAGTTACAAGGAAATATTACATCATCAATTATTTTATTACCCTTTAAATTGATTTCTGGTGATTATCCAAGGTGGTTCATGACCCATAATTGGGTCCCAAGCCCAGCTTTGGGAACCAAAGTGCAGTGGTTCCCAAACTTTTCAGCTTTTGACCCACAAAATAACA